GGAGCTACATCTTACATACAATAATAGCCACAGAAACATGAAGAGTCTTGGTTAAACATGACAAAGAATCACTTGATAGAGAATCTATAATACAAAGCTAAGGATCCCAGTGCTTGAAACAGAATCCTAGGCCCAATTCTTCCTGTAACGTGTTGCTAAAAGAGAATATGAAAAGAGAGTGTCCTCTCCAGAAGGTTTTTACAAATGGCTTTAATTCTTTTCTCTGTCTCAGCTCTCCTGATGTACCACCCAACAGCTGATTTTTCTTATAACTGAACCTTTTCTAGTAGCCTCAGGTTTTGCCTGACTTGAGGGACAAAGGAAGGAATTCGAATTGATTTCCAACCTACTTCTTGAATATTTACAAGGCCAGGCCTTCTAAATCTTGAATCCCAAGCAGCTGGAAGCAGTTTTTCTTCCTTTGTGCTCTTACAGCCCTTCTTTGTTTGCTCTTAGCATCCCAATAATCTGCCTGGTTGTCTATTTCTTTATCTTCTCTGATAGATCAGAAGACTCTTGTAAAAGGAACTATTTTATTCAGCATTGGGTTCCCTTCTCTGCTTCACAACTATTTATTTTAATTTAATTACTGTTTTACATATTTGTGCCTCTTTGGACCTGACTGATGGTTTTCCCCATCCGCTTCCACTTCTCTACCCCCCATACATACTCCTACCCAGGGTGTTTTTCCTTTGGATCTGCTCCCTCCCTGTAAAGGTTTACCCTTCTATCCTCACCAATCAGTAAGGTTTCCAGAAGGCCTCTTCTAATCAGACAGCAATTCCTACTACTATTCTTGTCTCTCTCTCTATCAGCACCAGTTATTTTCTCTCCCTCCTTTGTTGTTGTCAAAGCAGTTCCTTTTTTAATTTTTGTCCATTCAAGATCTCCCCACCCTCACAGAAAACAAACTGTGTGCTCTTGGGAGGGAGTTACGGGCTATGGAAGGAGAAGGTTCAAAGTCCAGCTTTAAAGCAGGCTGGTGAGCTTGTCAGGTGCCTGATCGTCATCACCCGTCCTTGGCTGGTCACTCTCTGCCCTGATGACTGTCACTCAGTGTAGGAAGGAGACAGCTCTGACTGCACTCCCCAGAGTCATCCATGCTGGGAAGGATGGAGGAGGGGTGGAAAGTTAGTGAGAGCCTGCATGTGCTGCTGCAGAGATGCCCAAGATAGCAGGTGACCCCATCTGTTTCCCATTTATATATTCTCATTGCTGATAAATGATGGACATCCTTCATTTAGGTAATTATTATTGCTATTAAGATATTACCTGAAAGGGTGCATGTTATTGGATAAAATGAGTGCCTGAGTGCCTTATCTCTCCCACTTAATATTTCTACTGAATTATGCATTCTATTTCTTATTAATAGTGGAAATGAAGTTCCTTATGCCTTTCTTTAGCTTTATTAGGTGACAGAACTAATTTTGAGGAAACGCCACACCAGGAATGCATTTGTTTCCCTGAACTGTATATACATCACTGAGCTGGGTCAGTGGGAAAGGAAAGAGAGGAGAGGGAAGGAGGAAAGGAGATGGGAGGAGGAGAGGTTTATTGATTACCGCTATATGCCAGATATTGTGCCAGGGAGCAAACAGAATACTGAAATCACCTCCTCTAACTGCCCAGAAACTGAGTGAGATAGGCATATTCCCATTTGACAGATGAGGAAATCAAGGCCCCAGGTCACATAGCTAAAGATTGAGCCAAGATTCAAACCTGGGCCTGACTCCGGAGTTCCTGATCTTGCTTCAGAAATCATCACTGTTAGAGAAGACTTGCATAGTTGCCAAAAGATACATGCTAATCTTCTAGGATTAAAAAAGCCACAGAGATGGATGACACTGGTTTTCCTTCATAGGAAACTCTAGTTTTTACTGTATGCAGATCTTCCTGAAGGATGTTTCTAACATGAAAAATTTTAGCAGTTGTCTTAGAGCTTCTCTTCTTGATTTCCTCACAGTTACAGTTTCTTTATAAACAAAGTATTAACAGAACAACTCAGGGCAAAGACTCCCTCCACCTGTGGCATATGTCTCCCAGACCATGTTCTCTCACACAAAGAGCCTGGTACCCCCAAAAACACACAAATTCACTTAACTGTTTTTTTTCTTAAGTAAAGGAAGATCCTGTTACCAAAATGACTCTTAAACTCTTCTCAAAACTTCATTGCAAAGGAAATGAAACTATTAAAAGACCATTGCTCTGTAATTCAGGAAATTGAATCAACTTGTTTGGAGCCATAGGCAGAGGAAGATTTGAGCTGTACTGAGCCACATATTGTGAGACAAAACAGTGCCCTGCTCTGAAATGATTTTACCATTCATGAGCTGTCTCTTTACAACACCATGGAACTCCTCAAATGCCTCCTTTACTACCTAAAATTACAGTTCTCTGCACAAAATGAAAATACTTTGTCAGATGTTCACATTTGGAGTGATTTTTTAAAACTTTCATTTCGATTTTCCTTAATGTTTCTATACTTGTCAAATGCATATGTCTTTTTAAGAAATGAAAGACACATGATACATAGATCTTGAGCTTGAAGAATTTCTGCAGATGAAATACTGATGATTGAGATTGGGTGATAGGTTCATGAGAGCTCATTATACTGTTGTCTCTACTATTAGTATGTATTTTAAGTTTTTCATAATGTTTAAAATATTTTTGTAATTCTGCAGAAAAATTTAACTCCCATTGTCTGCGTTCTTCCTGTACTGCTCTACCCAGGGCGCACAGTCTTTCCAGCTCCAGCCACTCAGTTAACACTAGTCAGATTTAGGCGTGGTGAGCAAAGAAAGGAAGGGAAGGGAGGTAAATCGTGGTTGGGCTCACGAGCCATGATATGCTCCTTCTTAGCTCAGTTAACAGCCATGACAAGCACAGCCATCACTCACATTTTAGATTCGAGATTGCTGCTGTAGCAGTAATGACTTGCTGCAGAACAGGCAAGACATGACGTGTTTTTGTTTGTTTTCCCGAAAGCTGATTGAAGGCTGGGTGCAGTGGCTGACACCTATAATCCCAGCACTTCGGGAGGCCGAAGCAGGCAGGTCACTTGAGGCCAGAAGTTAGAGACCAGCCTGGCCAACATCGCAAAACCCCATATTTACTAAAAATACAAAAAAATTAGCCGGGTATGGTGGTGCACTCCTGTAATCTCAGTTACTCGGGAGGCTGAAGCATAAGAATCGCTTGACCCTGGGAGGCAGATGTTGCAGTAACCCGAAACTGTGCCATTGCACTCCAGCCTGGACAACAGAATGAGACTCTGTCTCAAAAAAAAAAAGAAAAGAAGAGGCAGAGGCAGAGGCAGTGGCAGGGGCCAGGGCCCGGGGGCGGAAAGGGAAAGGAGCTAATTGAATCTAGCTTCAAGCCCTGGTCATCAGTTTTGGGAAGTTCGATATCAGTGACTGAACGCCTTCTCCTAAGAAAATGGCTTTAAAACTTGGAAATAAGGCAACAAGACTGCTGTGTACCTTTTTAATATCAAACTAGAACACTGTGTAACAAGCCCCCCTAAAGACTATTTTATGCTCTGGGCACTAGACCTGTCCAGTGTGGTAGCCACGTGTGGCTGTTGAGCACTTGAAATGAGGTTAAGTACAACCGAAGAACTGAATTGAGACGCACCATAAGTGTAGAAAACACCCTGGATTTTGAGCCCTTACAACAACAGCAACAGGTCTCCATAATGTGGGTATTGACACATGTTGAAATGATACTATTGTGGATATAGTGGTTTAAGTAAAATAGTAACATTAATTTTACCTATTTGTTTCTTTAACTTAAAAAAATGTGGTTAGTAGAAAGTTTAAAGTTACATATGTGCTTCATATTATGTTTCTGTTGGACAGTGCAGCCCTAGAGTTTCTGAGAAGGTAACTTTGACTAGTTATTTACTCCTGATTAGAGCCCAGACTGTGAAGTTACATGTTAGCCTGTAGATGATTAATAAGCTGCAAACGATTTCTATTTACAGCCAAATGTAACCCCAAAAGTTTGTATTCTTATGGCCCTAGGACATAAATCGTTTTGTGTCTAACTTGGTAGATTTCATCCATGTTTTATTTTCCTTAACAGTTTGACTAAATTTACCTCTGATGGTTGTACCAATCAAAATCTTGTTATAAGACAGAGCTGGAAATTCTCTAGCTCTTCTTGTACTAAGTCCTGTTGATCAAGTGATATAATGGATATAAATGTAAGTGTTGCTCTGTGAATTGTTTGTTATGTGTATATTTGGAATTATGCTTCATTGAATTGTCTTGCCTTGCTTCCTTAAAAGGACACTGAAAGGGAAGTGAAAATACTGAACAATGCTGATACTGAATAACAACTATTTTCTTTCACTCTATCTGCTCCTGTGTTTATGTAAATAAAAGTAGAGGAACTGTGACGTTTTAAAATTCCAGACCTCCATCCCCAAAGAAAGCTTTCTAAAGGTCCTCATTGCCAGCATCACACCCACCAAAACGTCTGGCCCTCCTGCGGGACATGTGCGGCCCTCCTTCTCTCATCCATAAGGAGGACGGTTCTGTTGTTGTTTTGAATGAGCCCATCATAAAAGCAGCAGAAACCATGTGACAGTAGCCATGCTCCTGTTTCTGGGTACCCAGAAGGTTGTTTGTAGCCTTCTTGAACACTTGCTTTCTAACCCTTTTGAATTTACAAGAGATAGCACAGCAAATAGGAACCTGCCGTATATTCCATTTGGCTATATTTTGTTTGTTTGTTCATGTTGTCAGCTCACTGCCTAGAATCTAAGGAGACAAGACCATAATAAAGGACAGTGTAGAAGACCTGAAGTTTTAAGCTCCAAATCTCTTAGCTACCAAAATAAATAAATACTACAGAGCTGTTTGTGAGCAAGAGAAAACATCTAGACAGTAAGGCTAAAGTCCTTTTTCCTTCACCCCTACCCTTTCCTCTTTTACATCTAGAGATTTGGAAAATTGCTATAACCATGAATTATTAGGTATGATGTTTTGTTTTATTAGGTTGGAATGAAATACAGAAACCTAATCCTGAAACCTGGGGGATCTCTGGACGGCATGGACATGCTCCACAATTTCTTGAAACGTGAGCCAAACCAAAAAGCGTTCCTAATGAGTCGAGGCCTGCATGCTTCATGAACTGGGGATCCTTGGTAGCCGTCCATGTCTGGAGAACAAGTCAACATCACCGTGTGTTACTGGCCTGGAAACTGAAGGGAGTTTTACAAGTGAAAATTTAGATTTCTATTGACATCCTTTTGTTTTCTAATTTTAAAAATTATAAAGATGTAAATGGAATTATAAATACTGTGACCTAAGAAAAGACCCACTAGAAAGTAATTGTACTATAAAATTTCATAAAACTGGATTTGATTTCTTTTTATGAAAGTTTCATATGAATGTAACTTGATTTTTTACTATTATAATCTAGATAATATGATATAAGAGGGCTAAGAATTTTAAAATTGAATCATATACATGATATAATTTGATCTTTCTTGTATCTTGAAGTTTTGTACTTGGGATTTCTGGACTGATAAATGAATCATCACATTCTTCTGGTAAATATTTTCTTGGAGCTCTGTGTCAACTTTGATCCTTTGTCTCCCAAGAAGGTGTGACCTCTCCTTTGCCTGCATACCTCAAGGCCAGGGAAATATGCCTCAGTGATGCATTTTTTGTATATCAGGCCGCGAGATTCCCAACTTTCTGCCATACTTAAATTACGTTCCTCCATTTGAGTTTTGTCTTTTCCGTCCGAAGTGCAGTCAAGAGTATCAAAAACTTATGTTTCAATTAGACTGGTCTAATGTATAAGTTTTTGTATCTTGTATTAGAGGATTTCGTAGCTTGTATGAGAGGCTCATTTCCACTTCAGCATACAAGATCATTAGTCTTTTGGCATGTGTGCCAATTAGAATACTAAAGCAAGTCCAAGCACATTTTTCTCTTTTCGTGTTTCTGATAAGTGTTAGGGACTTTGCCTCTTTTGCTTACTACATCCCCAAAAGTGTCAGGTAGACATGTCACAAATGGCTCTGTAGAGAGCCATGGGAAGAGAGAGGAGGTGGATGTGGAACATAAAGGGTTCAGAACCTCCAGAACAGGAATGGGTTTTGGACAGAAGCATTTTAGGACAGCTGCTCCAAAGCCTTATGTGTATGATGAAACTTAACCACAGGGAAGAGACTCTTCAGTAGCCTGTTCCGTCAGGTGATTTTTATTTTAAGTGAACCTTTGGATCTATCTTTAACTCTCTTTATTGTGAGTCTAAATTCCAATTCTGCAGCAGACAGTAAACTCACAGTATTTTTCCTGTAGGAATCTATTCAATAAAGGAAACCAAGACAGGATAATAAAATTAAAAAAAAAAAAAAAAAACTTTGAATGTACCCTGCCTAGGTCTTCCAGTTGTTTTCCAGTGCATACCTCAGGTATGACTTTGCTAGCCAGAGACAAAATTAGCACCTTTCGATTCTCTAGTCCAAGTGAACTTTGTGCTAAATAAAAAATTATTATACTACATAACAAAATTACAGACAGCAGGAGATGCAAGAGCTAGGAGATTCCTAGATTATATCTGCCAAGCAAATACTTTAAACATCCACCTGAAATCCTACTACCCTCTATTCTGAGATAATTTGACCAGCCCTTCTCTTCCCCACACTCACTCAGTGTCACCCCCGTCTAGTCCCCAAAACTGTTTTTGTGGTCTTTGCAGCCTATAGTAGTTTTCTCACATCTTTCCCCCCACCCCAAGACTTTTCTCTGTTTTCCAGTTTCAGACAAAAAAAAACTCTTCCGCTTTTTCCAGTGTGTCTCCTTAACAGCAACTTTACCATTTGAAATCTTATTTCACACAGAAAAACTAAATTGGTGTGGAAAGGCTGCACACAATAAAGTTATATTATTATCCATGAGAATGAATTCATATTTCTTTCATACTTTAACATTAAAACTGAAATACATGAGAGCAAAAGCACCATAGTGTTCTTTTTATTTAGGGCCTACCTCTAATATTTAAAATCTACCAAAGAACAGTCACAAAATTAAAACTCAGCCCGGGCGCGGTGGCTCACACCTGTAATCCCAGCACCTTGGGAGGCCAAGGCAGGCGGATCACCTGAGGTCAGAAGTTCAAGACCAGCCTGGCCAACATGGTGAAACCCTGTCTCCACAAAAATACAAAAAGCTGGGTATGACGTCTGGTGCCTGTAGTCCCAGCTACTCGCGAGGCTGAGGCAGGAAAATAGCTTGAACCCGGGAGGCAGAGGTTGTAGCGAGCTGAGATCATGCCATTGTACTCCAGCCTGGACAACAGAGCCAGATTAAGTCTCAGAAAAAGTAATACTCAAAAAATTCTCAAGCATAATTCAAAAGAAAGGACTTACTTTTAAAAAATTCTCTAGTGTGATTCAAAAGAAAGGACTTTGTTTTTTTTAATGTGGCCATCCGTCTAGTTGTTCTTTTTTTCCAGCTCAGAGCAGAGAATATCACTGACATACTTGAAATGGTGGATAACTATGGAAATTGTAATTGGACAAATGTACACTTTAGATTTATGGACTGAGCCACATATAATAAGGTCTCTCCAGGTAATTGATCCAGGAGATTTAGGCCTCTTTCGGTTTTTTTTTTTTTTTTTTACAGGCACTGTTGTGTTGTGAAGGATAAAATCTTAAACATCTTATGCTAATGGATAGTAGGCATGATCCTAAAGGTTTAGTTTTACGATGCTGCAGAGAAGAAAAATGTCTTGACGTTATGCCACGTGATCTAGACTTTGTCCCCCTCTAGTATAAATGTTGCATGTTACCTAAACAACTAAAAATTGCCTTGAAGAGTTATCACCTGAGCTACTTATGCCAAGGTCTTGCCTTTCTAAAGCTAATAAGGTGAGAGGTGGATATCTGTAGCTCTTCGGATGAAAATTGCATTGTGGAAGACACCAAAATTGAGGAAATAGCTCTTCAAAGAAAAATTACTGATACGATCATTGTACTTGTAAATGCCTTAAGTAATAGGCAGTGACTCACTTTTCTACTTTACCATTTTACCTTTAGCCTTTATGTATGAATTATAGGTCTGTGGAGATCCTGCCTCCCCACTAGGCCAGTTTGTTTGCATTTACCATTTATTCATTTTCTATCATACACAGGTGGAACTTTCCATGCGCCAAGGAAATTGCATTAAAATTTACATTAAAATACCATCTTACTTCAGGTTGCTATAACAAAATATAGATTGGGTGGCTTCAAAAGCAGACATTTCTTACAGTTCTGGAAGCTGGGAAGTCCCACAATCCACATGCTGGTAAATTTGGTTCGCGGTGAGGCCCCTCTTCCTCTTTTACTGACCACATCCCCAAAAGTGTCAGGTCGACATGTTACAAATGGCTCTGTAGAGAGCCATGGGAAGAGAGGAGGCGGATGTGGAACATAAAGGTTCAGAAACTTCTGCAGGCAGCAGTGGCAGGGAGCAAGCCCTAGAGTGTCTTTGTTTTACAAGAGCAGGAATCCCATCATGAGAGTTCCATCCTCATGACTTTATCTAAACCCAGTCACCCCCCACAAAGGCCCCACCCCCTAACCCCATCACATTGGCTGTTAGGGCTTCAATGTAGGGAATGGGGCACAAACGTTCAGTCCATAACGAATACCGAGTCCTCAAATAGGGTTTAAACATAGTTAACTGAACACCCAAAGAATGTTAAAAGAGAAAATCCATTTTATTTGAATAGATACAGTGACCAAAGCTGCTTCCCTCAAATCAACACATTACAGTTAGATGTCTCCCATCTGAAATTGGATAGCCCATTGAAATTGAACATGCCTTCTCTTATAAATGTGTGGTGAGAATAAAAGCAAGAAAGCAACGAATGTGGGGGCTCACACCTGTAATCCTAACACTTTGGAAGGTTGAGGCAGGAGGATCCTTTGCGCTCAAGAGTTTGAGACCAGGCTGAGCAACATAGACCCTGTCTCTACAAAAACTAAAAAAATTAGCTAGGGATGGTGGCACATGCCTGTAGTCCCAGCTACTTGGAAGGCTGAGGTGGGAGGATTGCTTGAGCCCAAGAAGGTCAAGGCAGCCATGAGCCATAATCACGTCACTGCACTCCAGCCTGGGTGACAGAGACCCTGTCTTAAAAAAAAGTAAAATACAAGAAAAGAAAAGACAGATACACCTTCAGTTCTTTGAAAAACAGTCAACGTCCAAAAAGTTTATTTTTTGAGTCACCTTTAATAGAGAAATTTCCTACTGGAAACAGATCCACCTAAGTGATTATCTAGTATCAACTGTATCAAGGCAAAAGGTAAAGGTTACAAGATGTAAATATTAGACCAAAATAGCCTTTTTCAATAAACAATAATGCTATAAGTCTGTAACAAAACAAAATTTGAAAAATTGAGGTAATGTGCCCAACCATGCACACACCCCCACACCACACCATGAGTGATTCTTGAGTTTTTATTTGGTTGAATTCACCTTGTAGTTCCCTTTCCCGGGAAAATACAGGTTCAACACATCTAGTCCATGATGTACATACAAGGGGAAGGGGTGAACAGGAAATAGGCTCCCTTGTTCGGCTCACATGAGCTGGAACCTGTACTAGCTGCATACTTCATAGACCCCAGAGGCTCGCCTCAATTGTACTCCCGTGATAAAATGTCTCTAGCATTTGTTATGAGAGAAACTGGCTAGAAATAGTTTGTTCGTTGAGTCCAGCAAGACACACATTGCTGTTGATATCTTTGGGGCTAAGATGGAGAATGTGACTGGATAATAGTTATCCAGATGGATTCCTAGCTATTGAAACAGTCTGAGATAATGCATAATGATTAATGTTAAACTGGGGGTAATTTCAAGTCATTTGGCTAAAAATGAAAAAAACCATAAAACTATCAAATTTACAGATAATAGGGCTGGAATTATTAAGTATGATGATGTTATTAATATTTAAAACTATTTTGGCCGGGCGGGGTGGCTCACGCCTGTAATCCCAGCACTTTGGGAGGCCAAGGTGGGTGGATCACCTGAGGTCAGGAGTTCAAGACCAGCTTGGCCAACATGGCAAAACCCCATCTCTACTAAAAAATACAAAAATTAGCCAGGTGTTGTGGTGCATGTCTGTAGTCCCAGCTACTCGGGAGGCTGAGGCAGAAGAATCGCTTGAACCCAGGAGTTGGAGGTTGTAGTGAGCTGACATTGTGCCACTTCACTCCAGCCTGGGCAACAAAGTGAAACTCTGTCTCAAAAGTAAAAAAAAAAATAATATTTAAAATTATTTCAATGTGGAGACAAGCTCAAAATGAAATTAGACACATTCCATTACCCAGGTAAAAGAAGGGGAAGACTGACTTGATAGTATTCAGGAAAAAAGAGTTGGCAGTTTGATTTGGCCAAATTCCGATGTCAGCTCATAGGACAGCACACCTGGGGAGGGGGACGGGAGGTGAGAACTAAGGCTTTTTAAGAGTGTGTTGATAGAAGTATGTGCCCAGATCAAAAGAATAATCCCCCTGAACTCCAGTGTAAGATCAATCACTGTTAGAATATTGTGTTCCTTTCTAGGTATCACATTTTAAGCAGACTTCGGCCAAGTATTACAGTGTTTGCAGAGCAGGAACAAGATGATGATAAATTTGAAAATACTTCTCAAAAGAAATATAAAAAAGAATTAGGGAAGTTCAGTCTGGAGATAATTCAGAAATACAGATGATAATTGTTTTCAAATTCTTGAAGGAAATGGGAGAGAGAATAGGCTAATTCTGTACTGCTTCAGAAATCAAATGGAAACAATTAAATTCCATTAGAGAAATGGTTGGAAAATAGGAGGAGGATTTAGTTCAGCATGAGGAAGCTGTTTCTAATAATTTTTGTTGGCTAAAAATACATTCTGCTGCTGTGAAAAGCCTGTAGCTGCCAGGAGTGTTACAGAGGGCATTCCTCCCTTGAGTTGACATTTGTGCCAAATCGGCTTTGAGGGCTTCTCCAGCTTTTAAGATGTGATAATGATAAGATGATCGTCGGGAAAACATCCCTCAGATGAAATGTTCACCGGCTGGCTCTGAAAACTGGCATTCAGATGATTGTGGCTCCCCCATACTGCAGGAATATTGTTTATGGCTTAAGGTTGCCTCGCTCCTCATCTGTAATCACTGAAAGTTTATCCAGAGGTTAATTACCAGTTTTCTGGTGGGTATCTGGGAACTGAGGATGGGAGACTAACAGTTGTATATGACCATAATAAAGCAAAAGACTGTTATAGAATGAGTAAAAGTTCATTTTCTTCCCTTACAGAATTTACATTTACTTTCTGTCCATTCCACTCACTACTGTCTTCATCACACACACAGAGGCAAACATCTGATTCAGATACCCAGGGTGTCATGCATGCACTCCAGCATATTGTGATCTCTTCGAGGCTTGTTTCTGTCCCCTGTCCTCCACAGTCCTGGATTGCTAATTAATAGTTCATACATGTGTGTTAAATAAATATACCTTCTTTAAAATTATCTTTTGTTACAAAGATGCCTTTTTCTATGATAACTGCAAAATGCCTAATTTGTAAATAAACCTAAACTATACGGATAAGTTATTTCTACACCTGCGGGGGGCAGATTTCTACATGAGAGTCCTTTTCCTTAGTGTGCTGAGAGTTTCTGCATGAGGTAGATGAAAGAAACATGTTTTTTGGAAAAAAAAAATTGGCAATGGAGAACGTTTCTAAAGCTTTCTCAGCTTCTCCCTATGATTATGTATTGAAACCTAGGAATTTGTTAATCTGGAATCTCTGGTTTTCTTGGGGGGTCTATGAAAAGGGCAGAGCAAGCAGATGTCCCATGATTGCCCTGAAATTATATGAGATATGTTCGTGTGCATGGATACATGCATTTTTCTACTGATAGAGTCCTTAGCTTTAATCAGAACAAATTAAGAACTGTCTCTAAAAATATGCTTTCAGACGTTTGTTTTTGAATTCATTTCAAAGACTCTAACCTGCCCGTTATGTGTCAAGCACTGTGCTTGGCAATGAGGATACAAAAAGCCACCCCAGAACCGGAGCTGCTCACAGTGGAGTAGAGAAGGCAAAGAAGTTCATAATTTATTGGGATAAACTATAATAGAAAAGCATGTATCCAAAGCTTTTCTGTGTCTTCCCCTCAACCCTGATTGACTCCACTATACAATTTGACTGTTGTGCCACAAAATTTTACATAGTTACCACGCCACCTGCCACCACAGGCTTCTATCTTTTTTGGTTTTTGTTCTTTGTTCTTTGCTTTTTTTGTTTTTTGTTTTTTGTTTTTGTTTTTTTTTTTTGAGACAGAGTCTCGCTCGGTCACCCAAGCTGGAGTGCAGTGGCGCGATCTCGGCTCACTGCAAGCTCCGCCTCCCGGGTTCACGCCATTCTCCTGCCTCAGCCTCCCGAGTAGCTGGGCCTACAGCCGCCCAGCTATTTTTTTGTATTTTTAGTAGAGACGGAGTTTCATCGTGTTAGCCAGGATGGTCTCACTTTCCTGACCTCGTGATCCGCCCGCCTCGGCCTCCCAAACTGCTGGGATTACAGGCGTGAGCCACCGCGCCCGGCCCACAGGCTTCTATTTTTAACAAAATGATTGCTTTTCTCTTTTCAGCATTTCAGGAGTGGGACTAAATGGTGTTCTGTATCTGGTATATCCAGGAGTTTCTTAGAGCTGGTGGTTAAAGGGCTTATAAACAAGAGATGAAAATGTTCACTTTTGCCATTTTTGTGCAAGTGGTTGTAAATTGATAGCCATTAGAAGAATGATATGGGACCCCTTTTGAGCTGATACTTATTAGATAGCCAAGAGGCATTGGTACATCCTATAAATCTAGAAAACAGATTGTTAAAATAATCACTGAGTTGTTTAGAGATGGTCCAGAATTAGTCAAGATTTCTTACTTTCTGTTCCCAGCAACTTTTTTTGAGATGAGATCTTCCCATGTTGCCCAGGCTGATCTGGAATTTCCGGGCTCAAGGGATTCTCCCACCTCAGCCTCCCAAAGTGCTGGGATTACTGGTGTGAGCCACTGTGCACGGCCCCATCAGTGTTAATAATTTCCATTACCACCAGTAAGAGCCGAAGAAAAGCACCCTAGCACTTCAACCTCTTACTGCCTATTATCTATGACTTCTTTATGTAGGGATAGAAACTGATTAAACATATCAATGAAAGACTAAAGAAACCCCGGGGCTCCAAGGTTCAAACAAAGACTGGGGCTGGACTTTAAACTTACACTCCATTTCCTTCTGTTTCTTTAAATAATCATCTGCTTCTCAGAAATCCCTGTTTTTGTCTATCAGACCTACATATTTTATTTTCTTGTATTTTACTTATTCATGTAATTATCTAAATTTTTGATGAGATAATACATTTGATGAGAGAAAGTGGTAGCAGTGATTCCAGACAGGAATTTTCTTTCTCTTTTAATGATTGGATGGATAGGTCTTAAAAGGAATGTAAGACTTTATTCCGGAACAAAGCAGTCATCAGTCCCTTTGTATTTGGGGCAAAGTGGGGAAAACCGAAAGATCCATTTTGTCCTCCCTGTACCAAATCAGATGCCTTTCTATGGTCTTCAACATTTGTGTGACTGACAAGTGGGACTTCTGTTGTAATTCACAATGCAATCACTGTTCTAAACATGCACATGGCCCACTCTGTCTCAGCTTCAATTATAAAATCTTCAGCCAGAGGCTATTATCCTCTGTTTTGTTCAGTCAGCGAGATAGCCAGTGAATTTCCAACTGAGATCAGGTGGCAGGAGAACAATTTCTCACACTTCATCTATCAAGCCCTTATAGACCCCAGTATATTTCCTCCATTGGGGGGTCCTGATAGGGAAGTTTTTCTGAAGTCATTTGGGAAGGTGTCCTAACATTGCATTTGCCTTCCTAATTCCACCTTAGAAGAAGGCAAGGAAATAATAGCTTAAGAAACTGTAAATTCACAGAGCTCCATCCTCCTGTTTCGTTATTTTCATGTCACTAATTTTTTAGTAGATAAGCTACATCCCATGGTCTACCCAGCCATGTGAAGCATCTCTTCCTCTCCTGCCCACCCTTCCTTTCTCCCCAAAGTCCAATTAAATACATTGAAGATTCTGGGCAAATCTCTCCAAATCCCAGCAGGAACACAACAGAAGTCTGAGGCAAAAAACATAGTTAGTGAGGCCATGGACAACAAATCTAGGTGCTTTTTAATTTGGGAATGAGGGATTGGAGGCTTTTCTGTGAAACACCCTACTTTTAAATTACAGTCAGTGTCCTAATGCCTGCAGGCTAAATGAGAGGTTTGGAAGGATTAGGGTAAGAGTAGACTATATACAACCACTTCTACAAGTAAATGCCTTTTAATTTTTTTCTAAGATAAATATTGCAGGAAGAGTAAATGCCTTTTTAAAATGGCTGTGCAAGCTAGGCATGGTGATACATTCCTATAGTCCTAGCTCTTCAGAAGGCTGCGGCAGGGGGATAGCTTGATCCCAGGAATCAGAGGCTGTAATGAGCTATGATTGTACCACTGCACTCCAGCCTGGGTGACAGAGTGAGACACTGTCTCCTTAAAAAAAAAAAAAAAAAAAAAAAGTGGGGGCCAGGAATGGTGGCTCAAGTCTGTAATCCCAGCAAATTGGGAGGCTGAGGTGAGGGGATGGCTTGAGCCCAGGAGTTTGAGACCAGCCTGGGCAACATAGTGAGACCCCTTCCCTGCAAAAAAATTTTTTAAAATTAGCCTGCTGTGGTGGCATACACCTGTGGTTCCAGCTACTCAGGAGGCTAAGGTGGGAGGATACTTTGAGCCTGGGAAGTCAAGCCTGCAGTGAGCTGTGAGTAATTGCACCACTGCGCTCCAGCCTGGGTGACAGAGTGAAGCCTTGTCTCAAAAAATGAATGAATGAATGAATGAATGAATGAATGAATGAATGAATGTCTGCAGAATCCAGAAGAGCTCTACGGAAGATTTGGCATCTTTCAAAACTCATTGACTAAATTATAAGTATAATTATGAACTTGTTCCAGGAAAGCCAAACTGCTATCCAGTTGACTTTTATCTTCTGAAGTTCAAGTTATTGGGGAGGTGGGGGAAAAGCCAGTTAAAGTGAACTTGTTTTATAAGGGTGGTGCGTATTTGTGCATACAAAAACCTGATTAATTCCTCTCTCTACCTAGTAAGTTTCTTAATACCCTATCAGAATTCAGCTGGAGCATTAGTACAGCAACACACTGTTTTCTCTGGTGCCAGTAGACAAAATGTCAGAACGCCTGCTGCATTCCTCTGGGATAATAGAAATGAAGTCATTACATTAGAAAGTGGATCATGTGCCCAGGATACACTTTCTCTCATCCTGAACCCAGTGACTCTTTCCCAGGTTAAAGTCAATGATCTGGTGGCAGATGCAGTGCTAGTAGCCAGAAGAGGGTGAGACAGAAGAGCCACTTAAGGAACATTGAGGTTTTATGATATTTGAGATGGCAATGACAGGTTGGTGTGGTGGCTGAAGTGCAGATGTGCCTATCAGAAGGTGAACACTGAGAGGGAAGAAGTGTTACGACAGAGAGCCAAGAACTTGATTGCTGGCAAGTGCTGGCTTGAACAAGGGCAATTGCTGGAATCTAAGAGGGGTGCTAATATTCAAGAGAAGAAGGTGTCCAGTTTCAGGGCTTGATTAGCAAACAATTGTTTTGTAATTCAAGGTGACTAGGAGTTTTACTTTTCAAAAGTACTGTAAGAGATTGTCTAACCTCCTCCAAAGGATTTTCAGGACTTGTTAACCATGAATAATAAAAGATATGAGTTCATGGCCAGGTGTGGCAGCTCACACCTGTAATCCTAGCTCTTTGGGAGGCTGAGGCAGGTGGATCACTTCTGCCCAGGAGTTCAAGACCAGCCTAGGCAATATGGTGAAACCTCGGCTCTACTAAAAATACGAGAATTAGCCAAGTGTGGCGGCACGTGCCTGTAGTCCCAGCTACTTGGGAGGCTGAGTTGGGAGGATCACCTGGGCTTTGGAGGTCAAGGCTGCAATAAGGCAAGATTGTACCACTGCACTCCAGCCTGAGCAATGACAGTGAGACCCTGTCTCAAAAAAATAAAATAAAATAAAAGGCATCAGTTCAAAGGAAACTCCTTAAAACTACCTTATTACCTCGTATGTATAAAAACTTTTGTAGTCATGTTTTAATGCAACATTACCAAAGTTGACCTTTATTGTGCCTGTCAGAAAAATCTGGCTGTTATCTTGAGTTCCTAAAGGAAGAAGTAATAGGAGCTGTTTGACAGACTTGACAACAGTTTCTAACATTTCTAAACAGCCCAATCAATAATCAAAAGGACAGGCAGGGCTTGGCAACACACGCCTGTCATCCCAGCACTTTCATAGGCTGAAGTGGGCCAATCGCTTGAGCTCAGGAGTTTGAGACCAGCCTGGGCAACATGGTGAAACCCCTGTCTCTGCATAATATACAAAAATTAGCTGGGCATGGTGGTGC